CTTGCCTCACATGATTCATCCGGGACGCGTCCCGCATGGCCTCAGCTGCCCTGTGCCTGCCAATGTTTACAAGCCAGCCAGTGCAGTCGCATCTAAGCATACATTTGGTACATTTCATACTATCACAATGATTTTAGTGCTTGCAGCTGCAAAATAAGTCACCATGGGCCCCAAGAAAGCTTCTAGTGCCAACCCTGTGGTAAAAAGGGTGAAAATTACTATGGAAATGAAGAAAGAGATAATAGCTAAGTACGAAAGTGGAGTGTGTGTCTTGGAGCTGGCCAGGTTGTATACCAAACCCCAATCAACCACCACTACTATCTTGGCCAACAAAACGGCAATCAAGGAAGCTATTCTTGCAAAAGGTGCAAGTTTGTTTTCAAAACAGATCTCAAGTGATAGAAGATGTTGAGAGACTGTTATTGGTGTGGATAAACGAAAAACAGATAGCAGGAGATAGCATTTCTCACATGATCATATGTGAAAAGGCTAGGAAGTTGCATGGCAATTCAATTAGAAAAATGCCTGCAACTAGTGGTGATGTGAGTGAATTTAAGGCCAGCAAAGGTTGGTTTGAGAGATTTAAGAATTGTAGTGGCATACATAGTGTGATAAGGCATGGTGAGGCTGCCAGTATGGACCAAAAAGCAGCTGAAAAATATGTGAAGGAATTCAAGGAGTACATAGACAGTGAAGAAATGAAACCTGAACAAGTGTTTAATTGTGACGAAACAAGCCTGTTTTGGAAGAAATTGCCATGCAGGACCTACATTACTCAGGAGGAAAAGGCACTCCCAGGACATAAGCTTATGAAAGACAGGCTTACTCTTCTGATGTGTGCTAATGCTAGTGGTGATTGCAAAGTGAAGCCTTTATTGGTGTATCACTCTGAAACTCCTAGAGCATTCAGGCAAAACAATGTGGTCAAGGCTAATTTGTGTGTGCTGTGGAGGGCAAACGTAAGGTATGGGTCACTAGGGACTTTTTCTATGACTGGTTACACCATGCATTTGCCCTCAATGTGAAAAATTACCTAATGGAAAAGAAATTGGACCTTAAGTGCCTCCTGGTATTAGACAATGCTCCTGGTCATCCTTCAGACTTGGCAGAGCGACTTTCTGGGGACAAGAGCTTCATTAAGGTCAAGTTTTTGCCTCCTAATACCACTCCTCTCTGGCAGCCCATGGACCAGTAGGTCATTTAAGACTTCAAAAAACTCTACTCAAAAGCTATGTTTCAAAAGTGCTTTGAAGTGACCTCAGACACTCAATTGACTCTAAGAGAGTTTTGAAAAGATTACTTTAGTATCCTCAGTTGTGTAAACCTTATAGGTAAGGCTTAGGAGGGAGTGATTAAGAGGACCTTGAACTCTGCTTGGAAGAAACTGTGGCCACAATGTGTAGAAGAAAGGGATTTTGAAGGGTTTGGGGCTAACCCTGAGAAGCGTATGCAAGTTGTGGAATCCATTGTGGCATTGGGGAAGTCCTTGCGGTTGGAGGTTAGTGGGGAGGATGTGGAAGAGTTGGTGGAGGAGGACAATGAAGAACTAACCACTGATGAGCTGCAAGATCATCTTCAACAGCAAGAGGCCAGACCTGAGGAAACTGCTTCAGAGGAGGGGAGAGAGAAATTGAGGAAGTTGCTTACTTCAAAGATTAAGGAAATGTGTGCAAAGTGGGTTGAATTGCAAACCTTTGCGGATGAAAATCACCCTGACACAGCTACTGCAAGCCGTGTTGGCAACTTGTACAATGACAATGTTATGGCCCATTTTAGGAAAGTCTTAAAGGAACGGGAGGTACAGAGCTCTATGGACAGATTTGTTGTGTGACAGAGGTCCAGTGACTCTCAAGTTGGTCCTAGTGGCATTAAAAGAAGAAGGGAAGTAACCCCAGAAAAGGACTTGATACCTCAAGTCCTAATGGAAGGGGATTCCCCTTCTAAACAATATTCCCCTTCTAAACAAATTATCGTAAGGCGAATTAATTTTCCCCATAAGAAATAATGGAAATCAAATTAATCCATTCCTGTCACCCCAAAGTATGAAAATAATTGTTTTTTACCACATGAAATATTAATTTTAATACACACAAACTGAAGAAGACATGCACAGTTACATGACACTTACCTTTATTGAAGATCTGGTGATGATTGATGTGATGGGAGCAGGGGAGAGTGTGGAAGTTGTTATTGTTTAGAAGGGGAATCCCCTTCCATTAGGACTTGAGGTAGCAAGTCCTTTTCAGGGGTTACTTCCCTTCTTTTAATGCCACTAGGACCAGCTTGAGAGTCATTGGACCTCTGTCGCACAACAAATCTGTCCATAGAGCTCTGTACTCCCATTCCTTTAAGACTTTCCTAAAATGGGCCATAACATTGTCATTGTACAGGTTGCCAACACGGCTTGCAGTAGCTGTGTCAGGGTGATTTTCATCCGCAAAGGTTTGCAGTTCAACCCACTTTGCACACATTTCCTTAATCTTTGAAGTAGGCAACTTCCTCAATTTCTCTCTCCCCTCCTCTGAAGCAGTTTCCTCAGGTCTGGCCTCTTGCTGTTGAAGATGATCTTGCAGCTCATCAGTAGTTAGTTCTTCATTGTCCTCCTCCACCAACTCTTCCACATCCTCCCCACTAACTTCCAACTGCAAGGACTTCCCCAATGCCACATTGGATTCCACAACTGGCATACGCTTCTCAGGGTTAGCCTCAAACCCTTCAAAATCCCTTTCTTCTACACATTGTGGCCACAGTTTCTTCCAAGCAGAGTTCAAGGTCCTCTTAATCACTCCCTCCTAAGCCTTACCTATAAGGTTTACACAACTGAGGATACTAAAGTAATCTTTCCAAAACTCTCTTAGAGTCAAATGAGTGTCTGAGGTCACTTTAAAGCACTTTTGAAACAGCTTTTGTGTAGAGTTTTTTAAAGTTTGAAATGACCTGCTGGTCCATGGGCTGCAGGAGAGGAGTGGTATTAGGAGGCAAAAACTTGACCTTAATGAAGCTCATGTCCCCAGAAAGTCACTCTGCCAAGTCTGAAGGATGACCAGGAGCATTGTCTAATACCAGGAGGCACTTAAGGTCCAATTTCTTTTCCATTAGGTAATTTTTCACATTGATGGCAAATGCATGGTGTAACCAGTCATAGAAAAAGTCCCTAGTGACCCATACCTTACGTTTGCCCTCCACAGCACACACAAATTAGCCTTGACCACATTGTTTTGCCTGAACACTCTGGGAGTTTCAGAGTGATACACCAATAAAAGCTTCACTTTGCAATCACCACTAGCATTAGCACACATCAGAAGAGTAAGCCTGTCTTTCATAGGCTTATGTCCTGGAAGTGCCTTTTCCTCCTGAGTAATGTAGGTCCTGCTTGGCAATTTCTTCCAAAACAGGCCTGCTTTGTCGCAATTAAACACTTGCTCAGGTTTCAATTCTTCACTGTCTATACACTCCTTGAATTCCTTCACATATTTTTCAGCTGCTTTTTGGTCCATACTGGCAGCCTCACCATGCCTTATCACACTATGTATGCCACTACAATTCTTAAATCTCTCAAACCAACCTTTGCTGGCCTTAAATTCACTCACATCACCACTAGTTGCAGGCATTTTTCTAATTGAATTGCCATGCAACTTCCTAGCCTTTTCACATATGATCATGTGAGAAATGCTATCTCCTGCTATCTGTTTTTCGTTTATCCACACCAATAACAGTCTCTCAACATCTTCTATCACTTGCGATCTCTGTTTTGAAAACAAACTTGCACCTTTTGCAAGAATAGCTTCCTTGATTGCCGTTTTGTTGGCCAAGATAGTAGCGATGGTTGATTGGGGTTTGGTATACAACCTGGCCAGCTCCGAGAGACGCACTCCACTTTCGTATTAGTAATTATCTCTTTCTTCATTTCCATAGTAATTTTCACCCATTTTACCACAGGGTTGGCACTAGAAGCTTTCTTGGGGCCTATGGTGACTTATTTTGCAGCTACAAGCACTAAAAACACTGTGATAATATGAAATGTACCAAATGTATGCTTAGATGTGACTGCACTGGCTGGCTTGTAAACACTGGCACCCACGGGGCAGCTGAGGCCACGCATGGGACGCGTCCCGGACGAATCACATAAGGCAAGTTTTTTATCATGAGGCGAGGCAAAAGTTTTGCGTTCAAATGCTTCATGTGGCGGATTGAACATTAGGTGATGCGTTCGTAAGGCGGGAGTCCATTGTATATGCATATATATATATGCCATGCGTGTCATAAGAGGCGACTAATGTGCCAGGAGCAAGAGGCTAGTAACCCCTTCTTCTGTCTGTGTTACTAAAGTTAAAAAGAGAAACTTTCATTCTTTTTTTGGGCCACCCTGCTTCAGTGGGATATGGCTGGTTTGTTGAAAGAAGAAGAATGTATATATATACAGTGGACCCCCGACTTACGATATTAATTCGTTCCAGAAGGCTGTTCAGGTGCTGTTACCGAATGAATTTGCTCCCATAAGGAATATTGTAAATTAGATTAGTCCATTTCAGACCCCCAAAAATACACTTACATAATTGTTCGACTTGGGAGCTGTTCGTAAGTCGGGGGTCCACTGTATATTAATGCATCCACAGAACAAAGTAGTTTTAACATTATAACAGTACTGTGACTATCAGGGGATCGAACCCACAATATTTTAACCAGCCTCACTCCTGGGAAGCGCACCAAAATCCATGATGCCTTAGTCCACTGTCCCACCAAGCATAATGATACATTGAACTAAGGCTTCGTGGATTTTGGCGGGCTTCCTAGGAGTGAAGCTGGTTAAAATATCGCGGGTTTGATCTCCGGCTAGTTGCAGTATTGTTATATAGTATACTATATATATACATATATATTATTACAACCTTATTTTTTAAGTCAGTTTTAAATTTTTTTAATCATACAAGACATTACACATTTTGCAACTGCCTGTAACCCAGGATAGCCTAGCATGGACTTCTGTCTTGTTACTTCAGTTCGCCCAAATACCTGGTTGACTTCAGTAGTGGGCTTTTCGCTCGCTCTCCCTCCGATTCCACGAACTCGGTGAGGGATGTTACGGAGCTGGGTACCCCCCCAGGCTCCCTTGAGGGGTACCGTGTAGCGCACTCTGTTTTTTACCGCAAACAATCCAGCTTGGGTAGTGACAAGGAGGAGAGGAAAGGCATACCTATATTCCACCCAGGGTAAGCAGGTAGTGAATGGGCATCACTGTCTCTCAAGTGTTGTCATTTGGCTTGGTGCTTTGATGCTTGCAGTTTGGGTTAAGCTTGAATTCTTTGGGCATGCAATACTCTCAGATCTCTTAAATTTCACCCCCCTTTATCTGACTTTATTAAATGTTGTGTTTTTCAGGTCATTAATATAAAATTATTAAAATATTAACCTCATTCTCTCTTATATTACATCATTGCATATAGGTATTAACAATGTATCTTTATGGATGTTATATTTCATGTCTCATAATTTTATTTACAGTTCCATATTCAGTAATTCTTAGGTTGACTATGGATATTAAAGCAAAAGAATTTATTATTGCATATTTTTTTAATTATATTCTCTCTAATGATTGTGCATTTTCTTATGACTATATATCTGTTTTATTCTCTCATGATTATGTAATTGTTTTTCATCATTGATTGTTAAAATATATTTATTTGGTGTTCCCTGGATTGGATATAATGAATATGTAATTGTGAGTTGTGGGTTGTCAGTATGACTCGCGGGTTACAAGATTTTAGCAGTGTGAGTTCTGGGTTGTGAGAATTGTATTATATAGTTGGTCAAATTAGAATTCAAAGTCAGATTTTTATTTCTATTATGCTGTACAGAGATAATCTAGTTTACATGTAATAAAACATTGTTAGGCATAAAAGAAAGCCACTACTAGAGGAGTTCCCATTTATAATATCAGCCATAGATTTGTAAAGAATACTTAGTATAGCCTTAATAAGCTCTAACTCCATCACTGTCTTGCTTCTGGCAAAACAGTGATGGAGCGAGTGATGGAGCGAGTGATGAAGGCGTTTCTTCTTTTTTGGATCACCTCATTCCATTGGTTTTTAATCAACAATTTCCTGACCTTTTGATGAGGCACTTTTAAAATTTCTTAAACTCAAGATAATTTGAATGCATGTTATTTTTATGCCATGGTGGTCTTAGTAATGTTAAAAAAAAAATATGTCTTGGATAACTGCTGACCAAAGTTGGGGGATTTGCCGTGTTGCCGTGTTCCTCCCTTAAGTCAATGTGACCTGACCTGACTAGGTTGGGTGCATTGGCTTAAGCCGGTAGGAGACTTGGACCTGCCTCGCATGGGCCAGTAGGCCTTCTGCAGTGTTCCTTCGTTCTTATGTTCTTAAATGAAAACCTTTGCAACTGCGCATTCAAAATCAGGGTCCCTGAGATAGACTCCAATTCTGTGCAGTATTGATGTGGCAGTTCCTTCAAGAAGGTAACAGCTGCCACACTGATACTTCTTCAAGGAGGTACTGAGAGGTGTGCTGTGGCAGTTCCTTCAAGAAGGAAGCAGTTACCACATTGATACTTCTTCAAGAAGGAGTGCTGTGGCAGTTCCTTCAAGAAGGTAGCAACTGCCACACTGGTACTCCTTCAAGGAGGAGCTGACAGCTGATATTGTTGTAGGGATTGTGATCCAAAAAATAGGAGTCACCTCAGATAATGCAGTTACCTCTCAGTCTCCAGGAACTGTAAGACCTTAAGAGTTCAGAGCTTCCCACTGACTATGATCAATACAGTCAACCCTTGATATATCACACTAATAAAGAGGGATTGTTCAAAAGAGTAATACAGGGAGACTGCTCAAATGACTAATAAAGAGGAATTGTTCCAGAGTTTAATAAAAAAGAATTGTTCAAAAGACTAATAGAAGGAGATTGTTCAAAAGACTAATAGAAGGAGATTGTTCAGAAGACTAATAGAGGGAGATTGTTCAGAAGATTAATAGAGGGGATTGTTCAAAAGACTAATATAGAGGGATTGTTCAAACACTAATAAAAGAGATTGTAGAATTATCCAGTAGATTTTCCAAGTAGAGTTATCCAGTAGAATTTCCAAGTAGATTTACCCAAAATGCAGATGTGATATACACAGAGGTATTTGACACATGTGATTGTGGGGTGATTGCACAAAATGAGGGGCATAGGCATTATGGGGAAGGTGGGCAGATAGATTTTTGGGTTGCTAATACACAGAACACAAAACAGTAGTAGTAAACAGAGCAAAATCCAGCATCAGCGAGTGAGGTAAGAAGGTCAGTACCCCAAGGCACTGTCCTAGCACCTCTGCTGTTTCTCATCCTCTTAACAGACATAGATATAAACAACTATCACAGTTTTGTATCATCATTTGTAGATGACACTAAAATAAGCATGAAAGTCACTTCAGTAAAAGACACTGAAAAATTACAGGAATATATAAGCAGGGTTTTACAGTGGGCAATGGAGAACAACATGACGTTCAATGATGATAAGTTCCAGTATGGAAAGAATGAAGAACTCAAAAGGAACACCATATACAAAACTCAAGAGGATCATCAAATAGAATGAAAGGAACACATGAAAGGCTTGGGAATAACTGTGTCAGCTGACCTTTCTTTCAAAGAAAATAAGATGAAGGTCACACTAGCCAGGAGAATGGCAGGGTGGGTAATGAGAGTCTTCAGAGCAAGGGAAATAATGCCAGTGTTGACACTTTTCAAATCACTTGTGGTCCCTCATTTGTAATATTGCTCAGTGTTGATGGCCCCATTCAGGACAGGAGAAATATCAGAGCTTGAACAAATGCAGAGATCATTTATGACCCACATAGAGCCAGTAAAGCATTTAAATTACTGAGAACTGGTTAAAGTCTTAAATATGTACTCACTGGAGTGGAGGGGAGAAAGGTCCAAGATATTACTGTATGTATATACCTAGAAAGTACTTGAGGTCCTGGTCCCAAATCTGCAGACTGCCATAACAAAATACTGGAGTGAGAGATATGGGAAGAAGTGTAAAATAAACCCAGCAAAAAGCAGGGGTGTGGTGGTCACAATAAGGGAACACTGTAACAACAACCATGGCCCATGATTATTCAGATCCTACCAGAGGATATCAGAAACACTGCTGGGACACATAGAAGTCTTCAAGAGGAAACTGGACAAGTATCTACACCAAATACCAGATCAACCAGGCTGTGATGGAAATGTGGGGCAGTGGGCCACTAGCAGCAACAGCCTGGCCCATGGCCAGGCTCTGGGAATAGAAAGACTCTCAAAACTCATCAAAGGTAGTAGATTTATTCAGTAGATTTTGGCCATTTAAAGGTACAATGTATTGAGGCTTACTATTGTTGCTCACTTGTTTGCACAATACAATGGTCTATCAAAGATATTATAATTGGGGCTCCATGTGAAAATATAGTAATGTTTTAGGCCAAGTAATTCCAAAAGATTTTTTCTCCATTCTTAAAAGAAATGCTTTCAAAGAATGTAAAGTGGAATAATTCTTCATGTAAACTTAATAAATGATTATTACACATCTCGAGTAATTAAAATATTGGTAATATTATGATACTTGTCACCCCCCCCAGCACACTGGTAATATTATGATACTTGTCACCCCCCAGCACACTGGTAATATTATGATACTTGTCACCCCCCAGCACACTGGTAATATTATGACACTTGTTACCCCTCAGCACACTGGTAATATTATGATACTTGTCACCCCCCAGCACACTGGTAATATTATGACACTTGTCACCCCCCAGCACACTGGTAAATATATAATGACACTTGTCACCCCCCAGCACACTGGTAATATTATGACACTTGTCACCCCCCAGCACACTGGTAATACAGTGGACCCCCGCGTAACGATTACCTCCGAATGCGACCAATTATGTAAGTGTATTTACGTAAGTGCGTTTGTACGTGTATGTTTGGGGGTCTGAAATGGACTAATGTACTTCACAATATTCCTTATGGGAACAAATTCGGTCAGTACTGGAACCTGAACATACTTCCGGAGTGAAAAAATATCGTTAACCGGGGGTCCACTGTATTATGACACTTGTCACTCCCCCGGCACACTGGTAATATTATGACACTTGTCACCCCAGCACACTGGTAGTATTATGACACTTGTCACCCTGGCACACTGGTAATATTATGACACTTGTCACCCCGGCACACTGGTAGTATTATGACACTTGTCACCCCGGCACACTGGTAACATTATGACACTTGTCACCCCGGCACACTGGTAGTATTATGACACTTGTCACCCCGGCACACTGGTAATATTATGACACTTGTCAACCCCCCCCCCGGCACACTGGTAACATTATGACACCTGTCACTCCACGGGCACACTGGTAATATTATGACACTTGTCACTCCCCCGGCACACTGGCAATATTATGACACTTGTCACTCCCAAGTACACTGGTAATATTATGACACTTGTCACTCCCCGGTACACTGGTAATATTATGACACTTGTCACTCCCCCGGCACACTGGTAATATTATGACACTTGTCACTCCCCCGGCACACTGGTATATGAATGTACTGGCACACTGGTAATATTATGATACTTGTCACTTCCCCAGCACACTGGTAATATTATGACACTTGTCACCCCGGCACACTGGTAGGTAATATGACACTTGTCGCTCCCCTGGCACACTGGTAATATTATGACACTTGTCACCCTCCAGCACACTGGTGGTAATATGACACTTGTCACTCCCCTGGCACACTGGTAATATTATGACACTTGTCACTCCCCCAGCACACTGGTAATATGACACTTGTCACTCCCCCAGCACACTGGTAATATTATGACACTTGTCACTCCCCCAGCACACTGGTAATATGACACTTGTCACTCCCCCAGCACACTGGTAATATTATGACACTTGTCACCCCAGCACACTGGTAATATTATGATACTTGTCACTTCCCCCGGCACACTGGTAATATTATGACACTTGTCACTTCCCCTGGCACATTGGTAATATTATGACACTTTTCACTTCCCCTGGCACACTGGTAATACAGTGGACCCCCGGTTAACGATATTTTTTCACTCCAGAAGTATGTTCAGGTGCCAGTACTGACCGAATTTGTTCCCATAAGAAATATTGTGAAATAGATTAGTCCATTTCAGACCCCCAAACATACACGTACAAATGCACTTACATAAATACACTTACATAATTGGTCGCATTCGGAGGTAATCGTTATGCGGGGGTCCACTGTATTAAGATACTTGTCACCCCCCAGCACACTGGTAATATTATGACACTTGTCACCCCCCAGCACACTGGTAATATTATGACACTTGTCACCCCAGCACACTGGTAATATTATGACACTTGTCACCCCAGCACACTGGTAATATTATGACACTTGTCACCCCGGCACACTGGTAGTATTATGACACTTGTCACCCCAGCACACTGGTAATATTATGACACTTGTCACCCTCCCAGCACACTGGTAATATTATGACACTTGTCACCCCTGACAGTGGTCACATTATGATGCCTGTTATCCTTGACATACTGGTCATGTGTCACAAATGACACTTCACATGACGCTTCTTACATTTGACACACTGGTCACATGACGCATGTCCCTCCTGACACACTGGTCACATGATATTTGTCACACCTGACATACTGGTCACATGACACTCATCACTCCTGACACACTGGTCACATGACACTTGTCACTCCTGACACAGGTCACATGACACTTGTCACTCCTGACACACTGGTCATATGACATTTGTCACTCCTGACACACTGGTCACATGACATTTGTCACACCTGACATACTGGTCACATGACATTTTTCACACCAGACATGCAGGTCACATGACACTTGTCACACCTGACACACTGGTCACAACTGACACACTGGTCACATGACACTTGTCACACCTGACACAGTTCAAAGTTTGCCACCCAAGTGTTTTGATGTTTCATTTCCCAGTGTTTATTGTCGTCAAATTTATATTTGATCAGTGTTGTAATCATTATTGTTTATTTTGATCATTATCTCAAAATACTGTAATTACTTAAGGATTGAAAGGATTATTTAATACAGTATTTCACCAAATTTATATGGCAAAGAAATTTTACGTAAATAATTTTCGTTTATGATATACAGGACTACCTCACTAATACGGCAAGTTAAGTTCCTGTCTGCCGCCTTAAAGCAAACTGCAGCCTTTTTTCACTTGTCAGAGCATATAAAAACATAAAAACAAGTTTACACTAAATTTATTAAGTGTGCTATAGCACTAGGTTTAAAAAACTTATGCAAAAGTAAAAATAATATACATTTTTTGAAAATTGCCGAAAACCATCTTAAGAGCAAGGCAAATGCCGAATATAATGAACATGAATATAATTGAAAAGTGCCATATTAACGAGGTATGCTTGTACTGCATCTGAAAAATTCGCTTCATTAAGTAAAACGAAAAAAAATACAATATATAAAATTGTGAATTGCAAACACTAGGCATCATATCGCATTTTTAAAATTTGCTTAGATAGTAAATATGTTCTGAATTTCGTTTCTCAGGCGGCCATCAATGGATTTTGCTTGGCGACCATTAAATCAACAACCTTTGTCTATCTCAACTCAACAAAGTGCACCTCAGATATCAGGTGCGGTGGGGAGTTCCAGTAATCCGCAACAACAGCAACTACTCCTGCAGCAGCAACAACAGCCTCAGCAGCAATCACAGCAGCAACCACAGCAGCAACCAGAGCAACAGACACAGCAACAGTCGCAGCAACAGCAACAGCAGCAACACCAACAGCAGCAGCAACAGATGAACTTGCTCAACATAGGGGGTCTGGCACCAACATCTAATCATCAGGCCCAGAAGAGAGCACAATATAAAGAAGGTCCTAAATTTGGTCTCAAGAGTATGGTCAGTATGGATGACATGCCTGAGCTCTTCGCATCTTTTGACAGTAAGTTTGTATAACTTATTATTCTGTGTTTAAACTTTTTATTATTGGTGAAGCATGGCACCGATATATATACATTACCCAATTATTCATTTAAAAATGAAAGATAAAATCATGAATGCAAAAATTTAAATAAGACAAAGTTAATTGCAAATCTCCTAATTGATGATTGATGTTGAATGATCATTGCATGAACGTTTCTAAGAATTTCTTCCTGTGTGCTTTGTGTATTGCAGTTTCAAATTTGAATGAGTACTGATCTCTAAAAGAGGTTTGATTATAAAGGTAATTTATCGTTGGAAATATTGAGTGGATATAACCTCAAGACTTTTAATACTATAATCTTCAAGTTTTGAAAGAGATGAACTTTGCATCATTTGAGTGATTGACTTGCCAAGCAGTTATTTTATATTATGTATATTTGTTTCTCTTCATTTACAGGATAAGTCAAATTTAAAATGGAAAGTAAAAATACAGGAGGTCTCCAGCTTGCAAGCAAGTTGCATTCATGGGGTTGCAATTTACAAACTAGTTGTTCCTGGTGGTGCAGTAGACAGACTAGTGTTTCTGGTGTTTCCACTTTAAAATGAGTTGTTTCCTGGTATTTTAGCTTGCAAAATAGTTGTTTGTTAAGAAAATAATACATAGTACAAATGAGGGATATGTTTCACATATGTTTGTATTGTGAATTAGTTACTATAATTTTTTTTTTTTCTAAGTGTGCCATTTGTAAGTGCAGGTGTTTGTAACTTTGGATTAGTAAGCTGGTGGCCTCTTGTACTGCACTGCTAATGACAATTTTTATATTGTGTCCTTGCATAGCCTGTGTGTTCATCTTCAGCGCTTAGCTGCTACTAACATTTCACGAACAAAGCACCACAGTTCTTGACATTTAAACATTTTTCGTGACAGTTCACTAAGAGATAGGATGTAAATAAGAGTTTTTTGTATTGGCTATTGAAATAAATTATTAAAAGGCTGCTGTTAAGAGGTATGAATTGTAGCAGCGGATTTCCACCCAGTACCAGACTAACGGGTATATCTTTCTTTTTGACTAGTTCTAGCACCACACTTCCCATCCCTCCATGAGTTGGGTAGGTGTTCTAGCTACCGGTATCACCATCACCAACAACCACTCACCAACTAGTGCTGTGTTATAATTTTCTTTGAGCTTTCATTGCCTGCTCAAGCTTTCTTGAAGGAAAAACTATTGAATTGTAAATGACTGTCCTCATTAGGTATGTGATCTAAACATGTTAACAGCTACTAGTTGGTGAATATTAATTTGTTGGGTGACCTTGATGTCAGCATGATCATACTTTGGGTGTGTATTGCCTTGTTCAGAGTGCGTACATTTGCTTTCTTCCATATTCAGATCTATTTGTTGGAAATTTCTACCTGTTTGCTGCCTCTTATTCAGATTTCAAATTTCCTTACTATATCTTAAAATTATCTTATTGTTGTTGCAGTGTGCCATGATTTGGTTTTGTAAGTTAAATGATTTTTGTCTTCAGTAGGAAATATACGAGCAGAAAATAGGTACTTTTAGACCATTGTTTACTTTTAAATTAATATAATGAGTACAGTATCATGTCTTGCAAATGTTATTGTAAATATTGGATGCATGCATTTATATTTTTACTGTCACATGTTGAATTACTATTCCTTAGGTATTATAGACCATTTTAACCCTTAGTTATGTCCTAAGGACTAATTCTGAGAGTTTAAATGCTGTCTCTCTTACAAAAAAATAAAATAAAACAAACCTTTAGAGAGAGTAGTTTGAAGTGTAGTAGATATATTATCATTGCCAGTCAAATTCTGTATTTATCTCTTATTTTTTGGTATGGAGGGTCAGACATCAGGAACACACAGATATTAAAGGCCAGCAAGTTTAGGATTTTATGGGTATAACCTAAGTAAGTTATATACACATCATCCATTGTGGAGCCCATCAATATTTCACATATTCATTCACTTACATGGTACATGAGCCACATGCTGTATACCTGATTAATGACCTGAGAGGTAAGACAGGAAATAGAGAGGGGTCAACTACATATTCCAAGAGTAAGATGGCTTTTGATATGGTACCACATTGAAGGCTTCTTAGTAAATTAGACAAGCAGAGTGATGTAAAGTTGAAGATATTAACAAATAAGGGAGTATCTGAATAATAGAAATGAAAAGATTTACTAAAAATATAAAGTATACAACATTCCGGATCAGCCGGGCTGTGGCTCGTACGTTGGTTTGCGTGCAGCCAGCAGCAACAGCCTGGTTGATCAGGCTCTGATCCACCAGGAGGCCTGGTCACAGACCGGGCCGTGGGGGCGTTGACCCCCGGAACTCTCTCCAGGTAAACTCCAGGTAAACATCTGAATGGAAGAGTCTAACCAGTTTTGTATATGTTGTACATGAACTTGTAGAAGTAAAGATTATTATTATTTTTTTTTTAAAACACGTCAGCCGTTTTCCATCGAGAAAGGTGACCCAAAAAGAAAGAAAAACCCAAAAAGAAAGAAAAAACTTTCATCATCATTCAACACTTTCATCATCACTCGTACATAATCACTGTCTTCCCAGAGGCACTCAGATATGAAAGCTTAGATGTCCCTCCAAACTGCCAATATCCCAAACCCCTCCTTTAACCCTTAAACGGTCCAAATGTATATATACGTTCGCTCGCGCAGCGCCCCGAATATTTTGAAAAAAAAAAATCTTTTTTTTTTATAGAAAAAATTAGCACATTTTTTTAAGTATTATAGAATAAAAAAAAATTTAGGGTCAGTACTTAACCGAGATATGAGGCCGCGAAGTTGGCACTTGGCGATCACCTGATGGCAACATGGAGCACTGCCGCTTGCAGAAATTCTACATATTTGCCATTTTCTTCCATTTTTTTTTTAATTTTCTTGGTTTTCATGATATGATAATTATGCTTTATGGCAAATCTTTTTATTTCAATGCCAATTGTTGTTTATACACCAATATTATATACAAAATTATTATCATATTGCCATAAACACACATGTACACACTGACAGGCGATTTTGCACACCTGGCTGAATCACATTCTATTATCTACAACTATATACAAGTATTTACATGTCCTACTTATGTTTCTAGAACTCCATGACTGTATGATACTCCATGAAGCATGGATTCATGCAGAATGCCACCCCACACTGGTGACAAATGAATTGTGTGTCCTGCTGCTGGGGTCGTTTTTTGGTGGTAGCACACACAACACTTTTTCTGGGCATTCTTCTTCTTTTGGGTAGGTGGTATTGGTACCAGATAGTGACAGTTGGGAGTGATTCAGTCTGGCACTTCCCCCTCTGGCTGTGGTTGGGGGACAGGTTGTGGTGTGACAGGTCGCTGTTGAGGGACAGGTACAGGTGTGGTACCATACTTTCTTGCTATCTGTTTGACAACATTCAGCGAGAATTCTGCAAAACGTTGTCGTTTTCCAGTCTTTATTTCGTACATATTGAATGCATTGAGCACTGCAATGTCTACAAGGTGAAAAAACAGTTTTATATACCACTTGCAATTCCTATGCACACAGTCAACAAATCCTATCATCATGTCACACTTGCCAACTAGTCGCATATTGTTCGTATAGTCCATGACAGCAGCTGGCTTTACAATAGGTTCTTTGTTGAACTTGTTCAGTCTGTCTGTCTGTACCATCTCATTTCTGTGGATGGTTGACAGCAATGTCACGTCCCATTTGTCATGCCACATCAGTGCCATGATGTCATCAGCATGAAACATTTGCACTGCACCTTCAACACTGCCTCCACTGAACCTTGGCATATGTTTTCTATTTCTTCTCACTGTTCCACATATATCAGTATTGTTCACACGTAGGAAATCAGTGAGCATAGGGCTTGTATGCTAGTTGTCTGTGTACAATGTATGGCCCTTGCCAAAGTATGGTTCCATCATCCTGCGAACAACATCACCGGAAATGCCCAACATCCGTTTGTCATCATCGAGTGTGTATCTCCCGGTGTATACAGTAACATCCAACACAAGACCACTCTCACAGTCACACATAACAAAAAGTTTTATACCAAAGCGATTACGTTTGTTCGGTATATATTGCTTGAATGACAAGCGTCCCTTGAACAGAATCAAAGACTCATCAACAACCATGTTCTTGAAGGGATAAAAGTATGCACTGAATTTCTGCTCAAATACGTAAACACTTCCCGGATTTTGTATAGAGGGTCATTTCTGTTTGGCGTATTTCTGTCTGAGATGTGCAACATTCGTAGCAACAGAGTGAATCTGTTGCAGGGAAGGAGGTCACAGAAAACTGGAGTACTGATGAAGTGGTCTGTGGACCAGTAATTATGTATAATGTTCTTATAGATATGTGGCATAAACATGACAGTGGCAAAGAATAAATACATTTCAGCCACTGTTGTGTCCTTCCACCTGTGCAGCCATGATGATTCTCCAACCTCTGTTATGTTGTCCATGACATATCGGTAATAATTGTTTGTCTGGGTCACTATCAAGTTCATTATGGGCTCGTCAAAGTACAACTGGAAATAATCTAACTCTGTAGACTCATTCATTATGGGACATTCTGGCTGGATACCACTTCCACTTGCATCAAAATCACAAGGCTGTGGCACAAATATACTTTGTGTCCAGTTCCACTCACGATCACATGGTGCAGGGTGGACCTGTGGCATGGGGCGAGGGGGAGCAGGAGGAGGGACAGGAGTGGAGGCAGCACATGGTAGAGGGGATGCTGGGCGATCCTTTGTCTGTCCACCCACTGCACCATGTGGTCCAGGCACCATGCCACCCACCACTACTTCCTCCATCCCTGCATACTCGCCTTCATGATCACTTTCACTATCAGTGGCCAGGGTTTTGGATCGTGACTTGCCACGACCCTTGGGGATTGCATATGACACACTGCCTGAACGTAGATAACGATGCCTAAAAGTGCACTTCACTGGTGAATAATGAACTTCACT